TACGCAAAAATGGACTTTGGCGTGTATATGCTACGCGATGGGTAGGATTAGGGTTGTGGGGTAGATGCGTATCATATGTACGCGAAAACTGCGGTTCATATGCACGCCAACAAATTTCGTATCATATGCACACCAAACACGTGCGTAGCATATACACGCCAAAGTCCATTTTTGCGTATCAATATCACAAGTTTTCGTTTTTATTTTCATGAGACCGGGCTCCAAATACACACGACAACAGGTACTGTTTACGAACAAGGTGATAGCGCCAACTACTGGCCTGGCATACGTAATACAGCGTTTTTGGCCGTTTTCGCGGATATGTGTAAACGCGAATCGTTTTGAAAACGTTGTCGTGTATACGTGAAACTTTTTAAAATCGCAAGGGAAAAACTTTTCCATTTTTGACTACATCGTTGTCGTGTAAACGTAGCCTCAGAAGGCTTGGAGACATAGCTAACAAATATAAATGCTGATAAGTATTCCTTTTCATTGATATTCAAAATAGATCTAGCTATATGTAGATACATGTACTTTAATAGAAATGGCTTAAAAAGGGTGACTTTTACAAATCAAAACAATATACTTGGCCACTTCTAGGATTGTAAATGAGATCCATCCAAAATGCTCACCACTTGACGTGGGTCTTGTGCGTGTTTTGAGGTGCAGTGCTCCACCAGACCACCCTGGTCAAAGTTCTGTTTGTTACAGTAGGGACAGGTGAACGTGTAACGGTTCGGCACTGAACTAAAGGAATCGTGTATACGTGAAACTTTTTAAAATCGCAAGGGAAAAACTTTTCCAATTTTGACTACATCACTGTCGTGTAAACGTAGCCTCAGAAGGCTTGGAGACATAGCTAACAAATATAAATGCTGATAAGTATTCCTTTTCACTGATATTCAAAATAGATCTAGCTATATGTAGATACATGTACTTTAATAGAAATGGCTTAAAAAGGGTGACTTTTACAAATCAAAACAATATACTTGGCCACTTCTAGGATTGTAAATGAGATCCATCCAAAATGCTCACCACTTGACGTGGGTCTTGTGCGTGTTTTGAGGTGCAGTGCTCCACCAGACCACCCTGGTCAAAGTTCTGTTTGTTACAGTAGGGACAGGTGAACGTGTAACGGTTCGGCACTGAACTAAAGGAACAGGAGGAACAAGAAACCAGTGTGTAGAAGTCAAGATGAAAATCATAAAATAAATTGGGTGAAATATATATATATAACTTTTAACTAATTTAACTTCAACTTTTTTTCTTATTCAAAGTGGAATCAATGTAAATGTTTAAATACTGAACAGTTATTTTACCTGACAATTGAAGGTTGGTTCTTTGAAATGGCCTTCATACCTTCATTGATTAAGTCTTGATATTTAGAGCAAGCCACTGTGTGGCTTCTCATGTCAGACAAAAGAACCTGCCAGAGAGTAGATAACAAAAAAATAATAATTCTTAGGAACACCTTAGACTCGGACAGTGAGCTCAAGGACCACCCACAGTCTGTTCACAGACCGTCTGATGCATACCGCACACAAAACTGCAAAGCACTTTTGAAAACCGAAAGCTCCAAACGGAATGCCTGATAGTATACACTTTCCACAAGTCAGGGTGAACAGGTTTTGATCAGTCTGACAGGAAACACACCAGGCTGTAATCATGAGTGCTAACTAATCGCTTGAGTTTCTTCAGTAGCTTCAAACAAATCTATGTTGTTGAGCAAATTGTGTGAGTGAATGATTCAACTGTTTTATGAAGACAGCCACTTGCTGCATATCTGAATAAATGATTTTAAACAAATCATTTAAATGAATGATTCAAAGACTCACCTACTGGCACTTTTAGGGTCATATTTAAAAATATTTCTTTGTTTTAATTTGTCATTTCATATTTCAAAAATCAAAATTGAATGTTTTAAATAAATCATGCAACTGTAGTGTAAATGCATTCATGACACCTACGAGCCGCATTAAACAGAAAATACATCTAAATGCCGCTTAAGAAGCAGTTAATGTGCCACTTCTGCAGTGTAAATATGGCTTTTGTTCTGGTGATTGATAACAGTTCGACGATGTCTTATTTTTCTAATTGATTAAATGCATTAATTTTATGAATTAATTTAATTATCTGCCAAGGTTTCTTCAGTATTTCCTGCACAACCGTCCAAGTTTGTTTTCTATTCTCCATTAATTTATTATTGTAGTACAATGCTTTTTACATGCATATAATGTGAATGATCAATTTATATATTGGTCTGACAGTCTCTTCCGAACTAAGTGGGTGGTTCTTGGCCAGAAAAAGCGCCGCATTTCAATATAACTTACAGAGTTTAACTCCCATGCATGCACCCACACACCTCATTTTTACAGCCTTTGCACTTTCCGATTGATCTTTTCATCTCATTTAGTAAATTATCTGCTTTTTTCCACTCGTGCAGATCAGCCCTGCAGACTGCACACACAGGTTTCTGAGGCCGCAAGCACTCCTTAAGACAGCTTTCACAGAATCTGACCAAAAGAAAAGGATATACTTTCACTAAGACATTTCATATATACATATATAATGATATAAGACATATACTTTATAAAAATATATATATATGATATTAGGGCTGTTTGTTTTAGGTCCTTGATAAAATATGCACATTTGGCTACACATACATGCAAGCACAAGTCAGATTTCCCCCCATTTAAAGTAATAAACTGTTCCATAAATAAATAAATAAGTGTCAATGTATCTTATCAAAGTAGGCTATCAATAAGGCATTTCTCTATGTGTCACTTTTACTAGTGTTATGTTTGTCAGTAAAGTACGAGCTTTAAAATTCATACAAAAAGTAAGATATTCATAGAAAGACAACGTGAGTATTGTAGTTTGTTCAAGCAAGGGCATAATTAAGTGAGCAGCACTACAACTCCCAGCATCCCTCCCACACAGCACAAGTTTAGTAGCCTACACAAGAAGCAAAACTGAAAGTAACCAATTTCTGTCTCCTGAGAAACTCTAATCACAACTGCATTTATTATTGATTATTCGACACAGTCATATTAAGATTAAATTACATGGCATGGAGTCTGCGCGTCGGTTTCACATGATAACTTGATTAACATGAAACTAAACAACATGTCAAACGAGAAGTTCCTGCTGTGAGGCACGAGACCGCAAGGATACTCACGTATGTCCGCAGTCTGTGGTCATCGGAGAGACATATATCTCCAGACACACGGGGCAGAGGTAGTCCTCGTATTCTGCATCGATCACATCAGTTTGAGGTTGTGTTGTGAGCATAGCCATGTCTGCTGCGCTGTGTTCCGTGTTCTTGAACTCCGGCGAGATTCACTGCTGGGATGGGAGGAGCAACAACTCTGATCGCATGAGGAAATACATTAATACAGCCTTATTCGTCTGATGACAAAAATAGTAGTGGGTAAATAGATGACTGCAATGCAGTACCTAGTGAGTGCGTGTAGTCTTTTAATGAAGAGTTATGAGTGCGATATGGCAAGTGGTATCCGATTCATGAGCGAATCACGGATTTGAACCGGTTCTTTTAAATGATTCGGAAGGCTGAACGTGAAAATGAATCACTCGACTGCGAGGTAGAATGTTAACCCATGCAACAATTCAATTACAACAAATAAAATAAAATAAAAAATAAATAAATAAAATTCAAATGCTAGGGGGATATATAAACAATATTACAGGGATACATTAAATAGTGCACATGCTTGCAAAACTCGAATAGCTTTTTGTTTCCTTGAGCGCAATATGGACTCAATATGCTTCACTTAATTTTTAAATGCTATAAAACATGGATTTTTCCCCCCTAAAGTTTACATTTATGAATATGAAATTTAGCCATCAAAATAAAAAAATAGTGTGGTCTGTTTATCTTCAATAATGCCTAAAATACCACATTTCCACTGTAAAGTAACATCAACATTGTCAACAATAAAATGAGGTACATTTCGGCAAAAAAAAAAGGG